TGGATTGAATTATGTCCTGCCAAAAATGTGTGTATCAATTTGGCTGGGCCATGATTCCCAGAATTGTGTGGTTGGCCTCCATTTTGTGATTGTAATTTTATGTTAAAGAGGATTAGCGTGGGATTGTAACACCACCTTTACCCAGGTCACGTCCCTGATCCAATGTAAAGGGAGTTTCCCTGGGGTGTGGCCTGCACCACCTTTTATCTCTGAAGAGATAAAAGGAAAGGGAAGCAAGCAGAGAGTTGGGGACATCATACCATCAAGAAAGCAGTGCCGGGAGCAGAGCGCGTCCTTTGGACCGGGGTCCCTGTGCAGAGAAGCTGTTAGTCCGGGGGAACACGGAAGAGAAGAAGGCTGACAGAGAGAAAAATTCTTCCCCTGGAGCTGATGCCCTGAATTTGGACTTTTAGCCTACTTTGACTGTGAGGAAATAAACTTTGTGAAAACCATCCACTTGTGGTATTTCTGTTATAGCAGCACTAGATAACTAAGACAGAAGCTATCAAGTGTTAATCTCAAGTCGTTGTCTGGTGTATTATTAATTTTCTGTCCAAAGGACTCCCTGTAATATTTCTTGTAAAGTTGGTCTGGTTTTTACAAATGCCTTTAATTTCTGTTTATCTGGAAATGTTCTAATTTCACCATCATATTTGAGGGATAATTTTGCTGGATATTTAATTCTTGTTTTTTTTTTTTCTTTCAAGGTTATATATATTATCCCATTGCCTTCTTACCTGCATGGTTTCTGCTGAGTAATCAGAACTTAGTCTCAGTGATGTCCCTTTGTAAGGTGATCTTTCTTTTTTCACGAGCTGCTTTCAAGATTCTTTCTTTGTCTTTGTTTTTGAAAAGTTATGATATTATGGTATGTCTCAGTGTTCTGTTGGGATCTATCCCTGTATGGGGTTTGTTGTGCTTCTTGTATCATTACCTTCATGTCTTTCGTGATACTAGGGAAGTTTTCTGTCAGCATATCTTCAACAATTCTCTCTGTAATTTTATTGATTCCCCCTCTGGGTTTCTGATCATGCATAAGTCATCCCTCTTAATGATGTCCCACATAACTCTTAAGTTTTCTTCATTTTTTAAATTTTTCCTTGAACGAATTAGTGTCGAGGGATTGGTCTTCTATTCCACTGATCCTGTCTTCCATTGTTTCAGTTCTACTCCTATGACTTTCCACTGAGTGTCAATTTCTGCGATTTTATTTTAAGCTTCTGGATTTCTTGTTGCTGCTTCTGTATTGTTTCTAATTGTCTATTTATTTTGTCATTTTGTTCTTGTATTGTTTTCCTGAATTCTTCTAGTGTTTTTTGTGTGCTTTCCTTGGTTTTGTGTGTGTTCTCTACAGTTTTGTCTGTGTTTTCCTTGATTCCTTTGAGGATCCTATACATAAACCTTCTGAATTCCTTATCAGAAAGCTCCATTACCTTTTCTTCCTCAGGGAGGATTTCTAGTTCTTTATTATAGTCACTTGCTAGGGCCATCTTACACTGCTTCTTTAGGTGGTTTGTGGTTGTCTGTTGTCTCTGGGACATTAAGGGGTTATTGTACTTATTTTTTTATTTTATTTGTATAATTGTTCGCTGGATCCTGTTTTGTTTTGTTTTAGTGATTCCTGGCAGGTGTGGCTGGAGTGGTGCTCTGGTCACTTGACTGGCCATGCTGGAGCCCTGCCTACCTGTCTTTGGATGACTGGAGTGGCAGGTAGGTGTGGGAGCTCAGGTCTCTGTTTACTGATTTTGAGCGGAAGCTGAGGGTGGGTTAGTTGAGCTTTGGCCTCTTTCTCTCTTCAGTTTGGTGGCTCAGGAGTATAGAACGAAGCTCTCTGTTCAGGTGGAGTGGCTGATGTGGTGGGTGCGGTGGGCGAGTTGGGGCATGCTCACCTCCTCTCCCTGGTTGCAGGGGGGAGGTGTGTGAGGTAGAGGGGGGCCGCAGGGGGATGTTCACACAGTCACTCTACCTCTTCCTTCTCCTGGGCAGGGGGAAGGAGGAAGGAATGGCAGGTGGATTTTTGCTCAGTCTTGCTGCAGCTGTCTGTCGGTGGTGGGAAGAGGGAGGAAGGTGCGGTGGGTGGGTATGCGTGCACTCACTCTTCTTCTGCCCTACGCTGGTCAAGGGGAGGGAGGAAAGGATCTCGGGGGGATGTGCAGGTAGTTATAGCTCCTCTGCCTCTTGCTGGGCAGGATAAAGAATGGATTAGAGCTTGGGGGATGAACGCACCGTGGTGTTGCCTTGCATTAGGTGAGGAAAGAAAGGAAGGGACTGAGGGGTGATGCGTGCATAGTCGCATCTCCTCTGTCCCTTGCTGGGTGGGTTAAGGGATGCAGTCGATCCTGACAAATGTGTGCACAGTGGTAATGCCTCATGTCAGGTGGGGTGAGGGAGGAAGGGACTACAGTGGGATGTGTGCACAGTCACAGCTCTTCTGCCCCTCCCTGGGCTAGTTAAGGGATGGAGTCACATCTGGTGGTTGGGGTGGAGGGAAGAGGATAGTCTCGTATTATGGTCCCCCAGTCAGCCAAGTGGGGGGGAGTATGGGGCCCTCTGCTGCCTCTGATCAGGGAGATGGGCTGTGGGGGAGTGTGTTCCCTCAGCTAGGATATGTGGGTGCCAGGGCACCTTGCATCTGCTGCAGCCAGTGAGCAGGACCTCATCTCTCTCAAGTGCGAGGGGAGCCGCCTGGGGACTGGTTGGATGGGAGAGCTTTTGCCAACACTCTGCGAGTCCACTGCCTCATATGCGCACTCACCCCTGAGGTCAAGGGCCGTATCTCCTGAGTATCTTTGGTTCTGGATCTGGCAACCTCCCTGTATCTGCTTTTTTTTGTGTGTGTCTATAAATGTTCTCTATCCCTTTTGGGAAAGTCGTGAAGTTGCCTTGCTGTTTTCTTCACCCAAGGTCGCTGCTGGCTTTGTCCTAAGTTAGCAGTTGTGGGGCAGGACACTGGCTAAGCCCCCACCGTTCCGTGTTACTCTTCTTTCGCTGCTTTCCTTATTCCTTCCAATTGGTGTTTATTTGTTTGATGTTCAGCATGGCTGGATTGTTATTTGCTTCTGTTTCACTTGGTTTTTTAGGTCTTTGGTGCAGGGGGATGTTATGGTGCATGTGACTAAGCCACCATCTTGGCTCTGCCTCCTCCAGAGAATAGAATTTGGGGTACAGAGCAGTCTCTGTGCCTTAACAATAACATGTGATGGAGAGAACTTGTGCTGCCTGCTGAGTCCCTCGAGAGGGGAAAGTGCATGGTGCCTAAAGGCCAGGTCATGCTTTAGACTCTGCTTCCTAGCTCTAACCTATCCCTAGTTTCACTTCCTTATCCTGTCACCAGTGATTGCAACACTCCCCCAGGCTGCTGTGACCAGCAGGGGAGAGAGAAGAGCTTCAACTGAATGCAGCCAGTTTCATCCCCGCCACACACACACAATTGCTTCTACAGGATCCCAGTAGAGGAGTGGCAGGATATCTCCAACCTCAACCCAGACTCAATTTTTTTTCCCTTTTGTTCTTTTAAATGGTAGTAACTACAAGTTGGGTTAATTCACTTGTTTAAAGACACACATTTTCATCTTGTATAAAAAAATGATAAAAAATAAAATCTTGAAATATATGATACAGTCAATATAACCACAATGTTTGCTTAGATTGATCCACATATGTACCATTTTAATTGTGCTCTATTTATTCCCTTCTATGTCTCCATTCCCTCCATTTAGGATCATTTTCCTTCTACCTGAGAAACACTCTGATATATTTTCTGTAATGTAGGTTTGCTCCTTATCAATCTTTCTCTCCCCCCCGCCACCTCTCTCTCTGATTTATTCACTTTATTTGGAACAAATACACTTAAAATTAATAATGAACTCAAAGACTAGGCTCAGTTTTGAGAGCCCTGTTTATTTGGTTTTGGGGAAAATCCTGTGATGTGAGTAACCATCTCTGCCTTTGGCTGTGATGCAAGCTTGTTCACTCCACACTGAGACCACATCCTTCCTGTTCCTGCTGGGTCTGTGAGAGCTATGAATTCATCGCATTTCCTCTCTGCTGTCCGTGAGGCTGGTGTCTGGGTAAGTTGGGGTCCATACAGCAGGGTGGCCAAAAGGGCTGGGGAGGATGTGTCTAGGGGCAGAACTTGTCTTGGTTAATGAGCTAGGAATTTATCCTGATACCCTCCAAGTCTGTCCTTCAACAGTGTTTCTGGAACGTTCTTTTATGTTTATCATTATTCTGGGCTCTATGTGCATGCAAGTGCATGTGTATGTGTGGGGTGGGAGGAAGCAAAGACAGCAGGCAAAGGCAGAAGACACAGCTTCTACCCAAGGCTTCACCGGATTTGCCAAGCACCTTCTCAGGGGGTCTGATGGATGGTATGAATGTGAGGAAATCTACCTGCTAATAATCCAACAGGTAATTGAGGTGAAAAACAGAATGAAGTGTGCTTAGCCTAGGCTTTTTGAATGCAGAGGAGAGATGGAGTCCTGATGTGGACAGTGAGGCATCAAGAAAGACTGATGCAACAGGAGCTGGGAAGGATCAGTGGAGCAGATGGGCCTGTCTGGAGGAAGAGTGTCTGTTAATGCACAGGGAGATGGGCTTGTGGGGGAGGAGGTGAGAGAGTTTGAGGTGTCTTCTTGACTATCAAACTGAAGTCATTATAAATTCAAATTTGGAGAGTTCCCTGTTTCACAGAACTACTTCCTTTACCATAATTTAGGCCTTTGGGCTGGTGTACTGCTTTTCAGGGAGTCCCGAGGTGATGCAAATGGTTGACGCGCTCAGCTGCTAACCAAAAGGTCGGAGGTTGGAGTTCACTCAGAGGAACCTTGGAAGAAAGATCTGACAATCTACTGAAAAATCAGCCACTGAAAATCCCATGGAGCACAGTTCTACTCTGACACACATTACGTCGCCATGAGTCTGAATCGGCTCAATAGCAACTGGTACTGGTTTGCACTTTTCAAGGAAGAAAGACTTGGTGATCTACTGAAAATCAGCCAGCAAAAACCCTATGGATCACAACGGCTTGATTCCCACTGATCATGGGGATGACACAGGCAGCGCTGTTTTCCATTGTGCATAGGATCACCATGAGTCGGGGACTGACTTGACAGCAGCTAACAGCAGTGCTTTTCCAAATACAGTAGAATGAAGGGATTAAGGCAGTCATGCGAAACAAAGCCAACTCATTCACCCATTATTAGTCCAAAATCCAAGAGATGTGGGAGATCTAAACATAGGAGGCCATATTTCCAGCTTTTGTGGAACTTGAGAGAAAATTATCCTAGGAAAATTTTGTCTGTGAACACCATAATGAAAGGATGTGTGTCATAAGTGCTGGGGAAATGTCACCTTTTAACCATTTCTTTTGTCTTTTACCATTTTTGCTTCTGTCTGACTGAGAGACCAAGCCAAATCCACTGCCGTCAAGTCGATTCTGACTCATAGTGACCCTACAGGACAGGGTAGAACTGCCCCCATAGGATTTCCAAGGCTGTAAATCTTTACTGAAACAGACTGCCACATCTTTCTCCCTCAGAAAAAGATCGAACCACCAACCTTTTCAGTTAGCAGCCAAGCACTTAACCACTGAGCCACTAGGGCTCCTTGTCTGACTGAGAGACCTAGTTAATTAGTGGGAAAAAAAAAATCTTACCCTTTCAGCCAATGAAAAGTTTAAGTGTTAGTAGCATGAGATTTGGGATCAGATGGCCCTGGTTTAAATTCTGGCTTTGTCCCTTCCCAGCTTTGAAATCCTGGGCAAGTCACTCAACATCTCTAAGTCAGAGTTTCTACCTCCCTAAAACAGGATTAGGAAAATACCCCTCTCATAAGGCTTTGTGCAGGTTAACTGAGAATACGCATCAGTGCAGAGCCTAGCACATAAGAAGTCCTAAATAAATATGAATTATAATAATCATGATTGTGAGTTTTGCAAGGAGATGTTAAAGAGATCTGTTTATCATTCCCTCTTAAACAAACAAACAAACCAAACTCATTGCCATCGAGTCAATTCTGACTCTTAGCGACCCTATAGGACAGAGTAGAGCTGCCCTATAGGGTTGTCATGGAGTGCCTGGTGGATTCAAACTGCCAACCTTTGGATTAGCAGCCATAACTCTTAACCACTACGCCACCAGGATTTCGTCATTCCCTCTTAGGTATCCTAAATTCCACTTCATTTCAGTTTCTTTCAATCCATTCTCATCCTCCCCAGCAGTCACACGCCCTACCTCTGTGTTCTCTCTCCACTCTCCCTAGTCATAGTCTTCATTAGTATCACCATACTGACCCATCTCATGCCCTACCACTTTTTTTTGCCCCTCATCCATCTTTTCTCAGGTCAAAACATAGACACAGAAATGGAGCCTTTCTGCTGGAAGGAACTTAAAAATGATCTTTTCCACTGCCATGGATCCCCAAAATTTATAGGACACTTGACCAAAGTAAATGGTTGATCCAGAGTCTGTTCTCATACTCCATCTTAACTTCTATTTCTTGCTAACAGGCTGTTAATCTTTTACACAGATCCAACTCTATCACTAAGGAACCAACCCTATCACTAAGGAAATGTTTTTCTTTGAGGTTAAGCAAAACAATATACCCAGGGGTCTTGACTCAAATGGTAATCAAAACCCATTGTGTAGAATGTCCTCAGGATATTTTAACAATCTGTTCTCAGAACTTGTGCTTTGTAATCCTCTTGTGAACACCTAAAGACCCCTCCCCAACACAAATTTCTTCAACTATGCTCTGTATCCAATCTCCAAAAGCCAACTGTAATAAGGTAACCAATGACATCCAAAGCACTGTTTCCAGATATCCCATCCTCAACTATCTTACCTCACCAAACACCAATCAGAATATTGCACTGTTAGTTCCTGAGTTAACAATATAAATATTGCCTGGATGCCCATAACTCCTCTGAGCATTAGATTTCACTGTGTGAGATCTAACCTTTCCCCAGTTTACATGGTATCTTGCCTTTAATAAACCTCTTTGCTTTTACTTGAACAATTTGTCTTTGACCCTACTCTCTCATTTTATAGATGAGGAAACTGAAGTTAAGGAGTAATAAAGAGTTTGTCTAAGATCATAGTCCAGTAATCAATGGAACCAAAGTGCTCTTGGAGTCATCATGAACTGGTTGGGAGACTGGGCATATGTTACACTGTGAATGCTATCAAGTTTGTGTGTTTAATCTTTGTTTGTTTCCTTCTTTCCATAGGGAAACCTTTCTTCCATGGCTCATGACATACTCTTGAATCAAGCCAACAGAATAATTTCCTGGTAAGTATTTGGTGGGGACAATTGTGGTTCAATGGTAGAATTCTCATCTTCCATGAGGGAGATCTGGGCTCAATTCCCTGCCAATGCACCTCAAGCGCAGCCACCACCCATCAGAAGATGAAAGCTTGAGTGTTGCTGTGATGCTGAACAGGTTTCAGCAGATCTTCCAGACTAAAACAGACTAGGAAGGAAGGCCTGGCAATCTACATCCAAAAATCAGTCAGTGAAAACCCTATGGAACACAATGGTTCAATCCCCAACTGATCATGGGAATAGCACATGACCAGGGAGTCTTTTGTTCCATTGTGTATGGGGTTCCCATGTTGGGAGCCTACTCAACTGCAGTTAACAATACAACAAGTATTTGACTCATTTTTAAAAGTAAATATGGAAACTCATTAAAGTCAAGGGATATTTATTTCTATTCTAAAATATTTTTTATTTTTCTAGATTTTTGATAATTTAATTCTCTTTGGGGCAAGGGGAGTACCTTTTAAAAAGACTGTCCTTACCCATATATGGTTTCACTGCTCAAATTCCCAGCATCGATTTATGCCCAAGGACACTGATCAGAGCTGCAGATGAGGATGGCAAGTGTGCGCTGGAAGCTGGCCTGTTTGTTGGAGGACCTAGAAGACATGGACTTTAAGAAATTCAAAATGCACTTGGAAGACTATCCTCCCCAAAAGGGCTGCATCTCACTCCCCCGGGGTCCGACAGAAAAGGCAGACCACTTGGATCTAGTGACCCTGATGATTGACTTCAATGGGGAAAAAAAGTCATGGGACATGGCCGTGTGGATTTTTGCTGCAATCAACAGGAGAGACCTTTATGAGAAAGCTAAGAGGGATGAGCCAGAGTGGGGTGAGTGGAAGGAAGACAGCATGTTTTCCTTTTAGTCATTTCTCTTGTTATCTTGGCTTTATCCTCTTTCTTCTTCTCATAGTAGTGCTATTATTAGATGGAGGAAAGCAATTTATTTTTTTCTAACTCTGTTAAAAACCCAGCTCAGATTTTATCTATGCCTAGGAACCTGTCCTGGTTAATCTCACTTTATTAGAAGAGATTCCTCTGCCTGGAACTGCCTCCACTTCTATATCCAGATGGTGGCATCATTGTTTCTGTCCAAAGCCAGACTGTGAGAACAAAGTCTTTCTTATGGTCACTACCTTGAGAGCTGGAATGGCAAAATAAATTCTCTTAATCCTGTGCATATGTTGGAGGTGAGGTTCTCCTTTTGGCCTGGTGTTCTAGGCAAGAGAAGGACATATGGGAAGTCTCAGAGGAACGTAGAAAACCAGGGGGTGACAACGTTGAGCAAACAGTGGTGGAAGAGAGGAATAAAATGAATTGGTAAATAAGGAGAAGCATGGAGAGTTGGTGCAGTGGTAGGGTGTAATGAGGGAGAATAATAATATAATAATAATGTAATGAGGGAGATAATAAAAATTCCAGGTGGAATGAGCCTGGAGTACATAGTAGTGGGATGTTATAAACAAATTAAGTATCATAGTTATGACTGTGTCAGTACTTACATAACCAAATTAAAGTATAATAGCAATAGTTATATAACTACTTTGCTAAGCTGTGTTCATGAATTTTGTTGTTCATACCTCACAAGACCCCTGTGGACTAGGTGCTGTTTTTATCCATCCTTTCAAATGAGCAAAGTTAGCCTTGAGGAAGTTCTAACTGCCATTCCAGTCAGAGCTAAGGCCAGGATTCAAAGCACAGTGTGCCTTTTGCTGAAGTCTGGCTCTTAACTACTATGCTATATTGGCTTCTGTGTGGATAATATCTAATCCCCACTTTTTATCTCTCTGCCACTTCTGTTCTCAGAGCAATTGTACATGCAGCACTTCTTTCTCTGACCCTTAACACCTTAAGTTAGGCCATATTTCACAAAATAAAGGGCATGATTCTCCAGACTGCCAAGTCTTCCCAAGATCTTAGATATAAGCTTGGAAGTCCCCACATGCATTGATGTCATTTACCAATCAGGAAGTACATGGAGCTTCTGTGTCCAGAGCCTTTATTGGAGCTTCATTATGTAGGCATGACTGATTGGATCACTCACCTCCCCTGAGGTCAGCTGATATCATTAGGTGGTCTTTCTGACCTGGCCAGCCCCCACCTGAGTCACCTCATTAGCATAAATACTCAGGTGCGGTCTGGAGGTTTATAGTTAACAAAACTGAAAACCAAAACCAAACCTGTTGCTTTCAAGTCGATTCTGACTCATAGCAACTCTATAGGACAAGTAGAACTGTCCCATAGGGTTTCCAAGGAGTGGCTGGTGGATTCGAACTCCAGATCTTTTGGTTAGCAACCAAGCTCTTAACCACTGCGCCACCAGTGCTGTATAGATAACAAAGGCACCTCAATTACTTAGGAAATTCCAATGGTTTAGAGTTAACTCTCAGGGACCAAGGACAAAGACAAAATTCTTTGGGTAAAGTTAATATAAACCCCCGTTTCCATCCCTGAATTTTGAGGTAGAAGAATTATCATGGGGGTTAGAAGGTTTTTTCAGGGCTAGTGTTAGGCTTAGGTTTGGGTTTGAGATAGTGTTTGGATTATGCTTTGTTGCTAACAGTATTTGGATTTAGAATAAGTAGCACCTACCAGGAATCATTTATGTAGCTCTTAGGTTCCTTCCCTATAGTGATTTGTCCCATATTCTTCTTGTGTCTAGGTCTTGTTCTATCGTGGCTAAATTTCTCCTGTAAGAGAACCTCATTTGGATGTGTTATTTGGTAACTACTTAGATCAGTGATTCTCTATCCTGGGTGCCCTTTAGAATCACCTGAGAGCCAACTGAAAAAAAAAAAAAAAAAAAGGTGCCTGGGCTCCACCTGGGACTAATTGAAAAATAATTGCTGGGGGTAGAGTCCTGGAATCTGTATTTTTAAAGCTTCCCAGGTAAATCTAAAGTCAGCCAGGATTCTGCACCACTGAACGAGATGTAAAGCAGGTAAGAATTCAGTCTTGAATTCTAGATTTCTCGGAAGTCTTTATCTGAAGGCACAAGGTGTGGGTAAGATGGATAGCACTTCTTGGTGATATTGGAGGGCTTGAGGATGGCCCCAAAATCAGGATACCGGCCTGGGAGAGTGCCCAGAACGAGCAAGGATAAAGAGAAGCATTGCTTGCCTCACATGTTGGCTGATTTCCAGGCCTGGGAAAGAGAGTCTGATACTGGATACGGTGAGGGACACAATGCTTAGCAGGCGTACAGCAGTTAAACTGGTTTGAAATTAGGAATGCCTCCAACTGGACGTTTTACTACACACCTGTTGTCTGCAACTCTGAAGCCATATTTTCCATTCGGGAGATGTCCAGAGCAGGTGCCTTTAACCTGTGCAAGTGCTAGGCTGTGTCTCATTTACATCTCATTAGTTAGAGAGTGCAAAGGAGCCCTGCTGGCATAGTGGTTAAGCACTTAGCTGCTAACTGAAAGGTCGGCGGTTCCAACTCACCAGTGCATCATGGGAGGAAGCTGTGGCAGTCTGCTTCCCTAAAGATTAACCCGTTGCTGTTGAGTTGATTCCGACTCATAGATTCTGACTCATAGTGACCCTATAGGACAGGGTAGAACTGCCCCGTAGTGTTTCCAAGGAGAAGCTGGTGGATTCGAACTGCTGACCTTTTGGTTAGCAGCTGTAGCTCTTAACTACTGTGCGGCCAAGGCTGTCTGTAAAGATTACCACTTGCAAACCCTGTGGGGAGTTGGAATCGACTCCGTGGCAATGGGTGAGTTAGGAATGCCAGTTTTTGACACTGTATTTTTTTCCTTTTATATTCAGATGACGCACATGATTCTACACTCACTGTGATGTGCCGGGAAGAAAGCATTGAAGAGGAGTGGATGGGCTTACTAGGGTATCTTTCCAGAATCTCTTTTTGTAAAAAAAAGGAAGGTAAGTGATGGGGACGGTGCTTCCAATTAGGTTTTGAGACCCAGTTCAAGAGACACTGGGAAGCTGATTAGTTTGACTCTCCTACATCCTCCTTCTCCTAACGCCTCATGTTCACTGGGATGCAAACTACTCCTGTTTCAGGAGATCGTTTATCACCTGAAGAAACTGAATTTACGTCTGCATGGTTCCTTGCAGTCCCAGAACCAAGGGGAGGTGGGTGATTAAGTGTTTCTGGTTTTAAGAGGCCTGGGCTGCAGGCTACACAAGGAAGTAAGATTCAAAAAAAAAAATTTTCTGGTTGGTTTACTGCTCTTCTGCTTAGCTGTGTATATGAAGAATTTGACACCAGAGTTTCTAGAACATTCCATACACAAGCAGCAGAGAGATGCTCCTCATGTTTCTCAGTTCCAGTTGCCATTTGCTACTGATCACAGGCCCCTGTGGATAGTTCATTTCAAGTGGAAGCGTGAAGGGCTTTCCCCAGAGTCTAACTTTCTGTCTTTGCCTTAGATTACTGTAGGACATACAGAAAACATATAAGAAGCAGATTCCAGTGTATTGAAGACAGAAATGCACGCCTAGGTGAGAGTGTGAACCTCAACAAACGGTACACCCAGCTAAGTCTCGTCAAGGAGCACCTCAGCCAAAAGGAGAGGGAGCACGAGCTTCTGGCCATCGGTCAAACCGCGGCCAAGACCAGGGACAGCCCCATGAGTTCCATCAAGCTAGAACTCCTGTTTGATCCTGATGAAGAGAACGCAGAACCTGTGCACACGGTGGTGTTCCAGGGAGCGGCGGGCATCGGGAAAACAATACTGGCCAGGAAGATTATGTTGGACTGGGCGTCGGGGAAAATTTACAAAGACAAATTTGACTATTTATTCTACATCCACTGTCGGGAGGTGAGCCTCATGACAAAGAGGAGTCTGGGAGACCTGATCATTAGCTGCTGCCCTGACCCAAACCCTCCCATATCCAAGATAGTGAAAAAGCCATCCAAGATCTTGTTCCTCATGGACGGCTTTGATGAGCTGCAAGGTGCCTTTGATGAGAACACAGGAGCACTCTGCACGGACTGGCAGAAGGCAGATAGAGGAGACATTCTCCTGAGTAGCCTCATTAGAAAGAGGCTGCTTCCTGAGGCCTCCCTGCTCATCACCACCCGACCCGTAGCCCTAGAGAAACTCCAACACTTATTGCACCATCCCCGCCATGTGGAGATCCTGGGTTTCTCAGAGGCTAGGAGGAAGGAATATTTCTTTAAGTATTTCTCAGATGAGCACCAAGCTCGGGAAGCCTTTAGGTTAATTCAGGAGAACGAGATTCTCTTTACAATGTGTTTTATCCCCCTAGTTTGCTGGATTGTGTGCACTGGGCTGAAGCAGCAGATGGACAGTGGCAAATCCCTTGCTCAGACATCCAAGACCACCACTGCTGTGTACATCTTTTTTCTCTCAAGTCTGTTGCAGACCAGAGGAGGAACCCAGGAGCACCACTTCTCTGCCAGCCTACGAGGGCTCTGCTCTTTAGCCGCTGATGGAATCTGGAACCAGAAAATTCTATTTGAGGAGTATGACCTCAGGAATCACGGCCTGCAGAAAGCTGATGTGTCAGCTTTCCTGAGGATGAACCTCTTTCAGAAAGAAGTGGACTGTGAGAAGTACTACAGCTTCATTCACTTGACTTTCCAGGAGTTCTTTGCTGCCATGTACTACCTGCTGGAAGAGGAGGAAGAGAGGGAAACCAGGAGCATGTCATGTAGTTATTCAAAGCCTCCCAACCGAGATGTGACGGTCCTTCTTGAAAATTATGGCAAATTTGAAAAAGGATATCTGATTTTTGTCGTTCGTTTCCTTTTTGGCCTTGTAAACCAGGAGAGATCCTCCTACTTGGAAAAAAAATTAAGTTGCAAAATCTCACAGCAAATCAGGCAGGAGTTGCTCAAATGGATAGAAGCTAAAGCAAAGGCCAAGAAGCTGCAGACCCAGCCCAGCCAGCTGGAATTGTTCTATTGCTTATATGAGATGCAGGAAGATGACTTTGTGCAAAGGGCCATGGACCATTTCCCCAAAATTGAGATCAACCTTTCCATTAGGATGGACTATGTAGTTTCTTCTTTTTGCATTCAGAACTGTTGTTGTGTAGAATCACTTTCCTTGGGTTTTTTAAACAACTTACCCAAGGAGGAAGAAGAAGAGGAAGAGGAAGGTCGACGCCTTCATGCGGTTAATTGTGTCTCACCATGTTCACATGCTGCCTGTTCTTACAGGTAAGGAAATTCAGCTTCAGGAAGGGGATAGAGCATGCCCTCCTCTTTCTAGCCACCTTTTTCTTGGCAGTGGCTCCCCCTTCCTCTTCCCCCTTCTTAACTGTCTTTCAAATTCAATTGCCACTAAAACCAGTAAACCAGTTTCTGTCAAGTCAACTCCAACTCATGGTGACCGTATGTGTGCCAGGGTAGAACTGTGTTCCGTAGGGTTTTCAACTGCTGATTTTACACAAGTAGGTTGCCAGGCATTTCTTTTGAGGTGCCCGTGGGTAGACTCAAACCCCTAACCTTTCTGTTAGCAGCTGTCTTAGTCATCTAGTGCTGCTATAACAGAAATACCACAAGTGGATGGCTTTAACAAAGAGAAATTTATTCTGTCACAGTCTAGGAGGCTAGAAACCTGAATTCAGGGTGCCAGCTCCAGGGGAAAGCTTTCTCTCTTTGTTGGCTCTGGAGGAAGGTCCTTGTCATCAATCTTCCCTTGGTCTAGGAGCTTCTCAGTGCAGGGACCCTGGGTCCAAAGGATGCACTCCCCTCCTGGTTCTTCATTCTTGTTGACATGAGGTCTCTCTGCTCACTTCTCTCTTTTATATGTCAAAAGAGATTGATTTAAGATACAACCTAATCTTGTAGCTTGTCTTGCCTCATTAACATAACTGCCTCGAATCCTTCGTCATTAACATCATAGAGGTAGGATTTGCAACACATAGGAAAATCACATCAGATAAGAAGATGGTGGACAATCACACAAAACTGGGAAGCATGACCTAGCCAAGTTGACACAAATTTTAGGGGGACACAATTCAATCCATAACAGCAGTTGAGCATATTAACCCTTTGCATCACCCAGGGACTCCAGGCAATTACCACTACTACCTAATAATGCCACTACCACACACCTATTTCTACCGTGCCCTTTCATTGGCTGAGATCCACTAGTGGTGGTAGGGTAAGTGGATAAATGGGATGGACAAAAAATCAGTGAAACAACAAACAGATGTTTGCTGAATAACAATTCACTACAAGGAACTATTCTAGGTGTTATGTGGAGTATAAACCAAAAACCAAATCCTTTGCCATCAAGTTGATTCCAACTCATAGTGACCCTAGAGGACAGAGTAGAACTGCCCCACAGCGTTTCTAAGAAGTGACTGGTGGATTCGGACTGCTGATCTTTTGGTTAGCAGCCTAACACATAACAACTGTGCCACCAGGGCTCCATGTAGGGTATAGAAGTGTATAAAAATGCTTCCAAACTCAAATTGCTTGTCATCTACTTGGAGCTCTAATGAGTAATAGTAAAGTAACCATGCCAATCAATGCTTGAGGGGCAGAACAGCCCTGGAGACTATGTGTCCCAGGAACATGGGAAGGCAGAGGGCCCTTTGAGCTGGAGGCTGAGGGGGCTTCTCAGGGGAGTGAAGTTTAAGCCTGCCTCGAAAGTTGGCAGGGTGCAGGAGAGGAGAGAAGAATGTGAAGGGAATTCTGGGCATGGGGACTAGTCTGAACAAAGGCATGAAAATGGTCTGAGGAGGAGTGTATGTAGGTGACAGTGGGGAAGTGGCTTCATTGGTGCAAAGGTAATGAGGGGAAATGAAGGCTTTCTGCAGTTTCCAGACTGAGATAGACTAAGAGGAAAGGTTTGGTGATCCACTTCCAAAAAATCAGCCAATGAAAACCCTGTAGATCACAGCTGCCCAACCCTGTGGTGCATGGGATTGCCACGAATCCGGGGCTGACTTGATGGCAGCTAATAACAACAGGACTAGAAAGGTGAGACCTCCTCCTCTAGCCCCCATGTTGTTTGTTCCAGGCAGTTGCCAAATACCCCTTCAGGGTCTGTTGCACACAGACTTGCTGGGAGTTGGAAGCCAGTCTCTGTCTCTATAAAATGAACTGGTTGAGTTACTTGATTTCTGAAGTCTCTTCCAGGATTAACATTCAGTCACCCCTGGATCAGGCATTTTAGTTTCCTAGGGCTGCCATTACAAAATTCCACAAAGTGGGTGGCTTTAAAGAACAGAAATTTATTGTCTCTCAGTTCTGGAGGCTAGAAGTCCAAATTCAGGGCATCAGCAGGGCCATGTTCTCTGTCCACTCTAGGGGAAAATCCTCCCTTATCTCTTCCAGTTTCTATAGCCTGGTATGTCTTTTGGTTTTCCTTGGATTGTAGACACGTCTTCACATGGCGTGTGTCTTCCCTCTGTATATTACTCCCCAAGTCTGTTGTCTCCTTTTATAAGTACCACTCAGAAGGGATTAGGACCCACCCTACTCCAATATGACCTCCTTAACTTACAGAAAAGGAAAACCCTATTTCCAAACAGGATCACGTTCACAGGCACAGGGGTGAGGATTTCAACATATTTTAGTGGACACAATTCAACCCATAACTGGGATTGCCCACAGTGGCTGGGTGGAGGTGGGCCCTGTGTGAATGTAAGGGTTTAACCTCTATATAAGACATGGAAAAAAACTGACATAGAATAAAAATTAAGAGAAAAGGGAGGATATGACCTTCAACCGGCTTTCTACCTTGGCATCACTTCCAGGACAGCCTTTTTTAGTCATCGTTCAGTCATCAGGGTCCTCCCACTGGGACTGTGGCAATGGCTGAGACCCAGGTCCTGCCCATGATGAGCTTCAGGCTTGGTTGTGAAGACAGTTGGGAAACAAGTAAAGAGGGTAGAGGGTCATGTGCAGTGATAAGGACACTCAGAGAGAGCACAGGAGCCCTTGACCAGCTGGGGGGAGTTAGGGAAGGTGTCTCAAGGAGTCACACCTCAGCCCAATTCTGAGAGATAGGGAGCGAGTGGGGGAAGGGACAGGCCAGGTAGAGGGAATAGTGGTTTAGAGGGCAGAAGGTGGAGAAGAAGGGTACTTTTTGACAATGGCAAAGAGTTCAGAATGGCTAGATAGAAGGCAGGAGCCAGAGAAAAAGAGAAAGAGAGAGAGGAGAGAGATAAATAAAGAGAGAGAGGGGAAGATAGAGGCAGAAGAGAGGAGAGGAAGGAAGCAGATCTGCTCATGAAGAAGCTTAAAAATGAGGCAGAAACAACAGGAAACCTGATCACGTTCACTCAGCTATGAAGAAGGCTTGGAGGAATTCATACTCATAGCTCCTGTTGCAGAAGCCCAATGCCCATTTCTCTAGATGGCAGCTACCTTTTTCTGAGGGTAGGCACTTGCCTTTGTGTGTTCTAGAACCCTGAAAGGACCAGCTGGGTGCTTGTTAGAAGTGTAGAATCTCAGGCCTGACTCTAGACCTTCTGAGTCAGAACCTGCATTTTAACAACCATCAGCAACTCAGTGCATCGGTGGCTGCACAGTGGAGTTACCTGAGAGTTTAACGATTTTATTCCTTTGGGTGAGGCCCAGGTCTTGTGATTTTTGAAAGCACCCGTTGATGTGAAAAACCCCCTGGAAAACGTAGCATAGGGTCTCCAGGCCCACGGATAGGATGTCTGATGAACAAGGGAGAAGAAGAAAACCCTAGGGAGCAGAAGGCACTCACGGTTAGGCGAAGTCACAGGCTTACTTTCTTTACACCACAGGTTATGGGGGATTGGTTTTACCAAGTCTCCCTCAGACCCTTTCCATTTTTAGGTGAATGATGTTTAGTTCTGTGACCCATTTCTTAATCACTGAGAGCCTTTCTCTGAATTGGTGCCAGCTGCTCCTGTCCCCTAGCTTCAATTTGGTATTGTAAGAGACTGATAATTTTCTCCCCTTCCCCTTCTCATCTTCTAGTTTGGTGAACTGCTACCTAATTCCCAGTATTTGCAGGGGCCTCTTTTCGGTCCTGAGCACTAACACGAGACTGACTGAACTGGACCTTAGTGACAATACTCTGGGAGACCCGGGAATGAAGGTGTTGTGTGAAACCCTCCAGCATCCTGGCTGTAACATTCGGAGATTGTGGTAAGTCTTTCTGTGTGTGTATGTGTGTGCATGCACACTTACACATGCATGCATGTGAACATGAGTGAGTGAAGAAGGACTGGGGAAAGTCTTAGGGACGTGGTAAGTGGGGAAGCACTATGGTTTGGAGGCTAATTGTTTGGAATGTTTTAGATTGGGAGGAATGAAGGGGGACTAAAAAGAGGTATTTTCTTGTAGTTCAACAAAAAGGCCATGACCTTTGATACCTCATTGTTCATGCGATGAGAATCAGAGCGCTTCATCACATAGAAAGATAGCTACCTGGGCTGGAAACCAACAAAATACAATGTATGGGTTTAATCATCACAGAGAATTTCCCGTAGCGTTATTAATACAATGATGCTCTCAGCCCAGATTAAGTTGACTTGAGTTTGCAGATGCCTGGGCCATGCTTCCAGCCCTATTCAATCGCACTGCCTATCGGGCACAGAAGCATTTGCATTTTTGATGAGCTACACAGCCAGTATTAAAGCCCATCACTCTTGGATGGTTTCATACCTCCCTTTGTCTCCCTCTCATACCACCTTAGGACCAAGTCTTATCAATTTTACTGACTAAACATTCCAAAGAAAGATGACCCAACAGAATGCAGAAATTATTGAACAATAATGAGGAAAGCGACAATTTGTTGTTGTTGTTATTGTTAGGTGTCATAGAGTTGGTGTCCCGACTCATAGCGACCCTGTGTACAACAGAATGAGGTACTGCTCAGTCCTGCTCCATCCTCACAGTTGTTGCAATGTTTGAGCCTATTGTTGCAGGCACTGTGTCAGTCCATCTCATTGAGGGTCTTCCTCTTTTCAGCTGACCCTCTACTTTACCTAGCATGATGTCGTTCTCCAGGGACTGGTCCCTCCTGATAGCATGTCCAAAGTACATGAGACAAAGTCTCACCATCCTCACTTCTAAGATGCATTCTGGTAGTACTTCTTCCAAGACAGATTTGTTCATTCTTCTGGCAGTCCACGGTATATTCAATATTCTTCACCAACATCATAATTCAAAGGCCTCAATTCTTCTTTGGTCTTCCTTATTCATTGCCCAGCTTTCACATGCATATGTTGTTGCTTTTAGGTTCCTTCGAGACACTTCCCACTCATAGCAACCCTATGTAGAACAAAACGAAACCCTGCCTGTTTATCATGATGTTGCTTATAGGTCCAGTTGTGAGGATTTTTGTTTTCTTTATGTTGAGGTGTGATCCATACTGAAGGCTGCGGTCTTTGATCTTCAACAGTAAGTGCTTCAAGTCCTCTTCACTTTCAGCAAGCAAGGTTATGTCATCTGCATATCACAGGTTGTTAATGAGTCTTCCTCCAATCCTGATGCCTCGTTCTTCTTCATATAGTCCAGCTTCTTAGATTATTTGCTCCGCATACAGACTGAAGAAGTATGGTGAAATGATACAACCCTGACGCACACCTTTCCTGACTTTAAACCACGAAGTATCCCCTTGTTCTGTTCAAACTACTGCCTCTTGGTCTGTGTACAAGTTCCTCGTGAGCACAGTTAAGTGTTCTGGAATTCCCTTCTTCACAATGTTATC